GTATGAGTGTTATGCCTGCATGTAAGTAAGTGCACCCATGTCGTGCAATGCCCACAGAGGACAGAAGAGGCTGTCGGATCCCCTGGAACTGGAGTTACAAACAGTTGTTAGCTGTCATGTGGGTGCTGGAACCCAGGTCTTCTGCAAGAATAGTCAGTGTTCTTAACCACTGAGTCATCTCTCCAGCCCCCACCCTCACCCCCAGCCATAGATCTTAATTGGGTTCCAAGGCTCTGCTCAGAGGCAGGCAAAGCATAAGGGAGATAAACAGAAAACAGTGGGTCTTTTTGAAGTCAGAACCCTTTAGAGACAGGAACCACAGGGAACCACCATTGTGCCTGGATTCATTCACTGACAATGAAGCAGAGTCAGTCCCCCAGGGGACACTAAAACAGCCTAAAGAGGGGACACAGGCCTACCCAGCATCCCAGAGCAGCTCATAGATAACTGGAATCCTCACTCTTGGCACAGGACAGGTTTGCCACAAGACCTTAGGTCCACTCTCCTCCCCACATCCACTCCTGTCACCAAAATCTATTCATCCTCCCAGTAACAATGCTCCTCTGGGGACCCATTCCCCGCCAGACACTCCCTTCTATGTTGCAGATGGATCTAAGGGAGGGCAATCACAGCTTTACATTCTGTTGACAATGACTGGTTGACTCTGGAAGAAAGGAATGTGCCCTGTTTACTAGAGTGATGACAAGAGCCTGGGGCTGTTGGGAGCCCCCTCCCTGGTGCCCAAGAATAAAGATAGCACAGGGGTAAGAGATGGAGAATCTGAATCATAAAAACAGTGCCTGAGCCCTGGATTAATCCTTACCTAAAGTCAGGCCCAACGAACTTGTTCTTTTTTTTTTTTTTAATGTATTTATTAACTTTTTTTTTTTTTTTTGGTCTTTTTGAGAAGGTCTCTCTGTAGCCCCAGCTAGCCTGGAACTCGCTATGTATACCAGGCTGGCCTTGAACTCACAGAGATCCACCTGCCTCTGGTGGGATTAAAGGCATGCGCCACCACACCCAGCTATTTATTTTTATGTATATGTGTGTGTGCCTATTTATGTGCCAAGTTTATGTGTACCACATGCATGCAGGTGCCCACAGAAGTCAGATGAGGTGGTAGGATCTCCTGGAAACAGTTACAGGTGACTGTAAGCTGCCATGTGAGTGCTTGGAACCAGACCTGGGTCCACTACAGTGAGTACTCTTAACCACTGAGCCATCTCTCTCCAGCCCATTCTTTTTAGACTATAGATTTCCAATTACATGAAATTGGTTTGACTTAAGAGTTTCTGTTACTTGTCAGCAAGCAATTAACCACAAATAGGTGATACTGCACCAACAGCATCAGACATGGTCTCCCCCTCCCTGAGTGTCAGCCCTCACCTGTGACTCCCTTCTACAACACACTTCCCTTTGGCTCCCCATATTGGCCCTGCCCCTGCAAGCTTAGCCCCTAGTTACCTTGAGCCGTTGCTGATGAGAATGCTCTCCCGAATGGTCAGGGTGCAGTAATACCACACCAGCAGAAAGTTGAAGACTTCATCCGTCACCCTGGTGGTAAGAAACAGCCCCCATGGAGAGGGACCGCGTGAGATCCATCTTCACCCTGACCTCCCGGCCAGCCAGGAACAGAGCTGGCCAGGGTAGACCTTGGGTACCTCCTCTTCCCTACACCGAGACTCTGCATCCTCTCTACCTGGTTGCACCTGTACTCTGAGCTCTGGCAGAGGCTCTTCTCCCCTGCCCACCCAGCCAGGCAGGAACTGGAGTAAAACAACTTTAAGCCACAGAACACCAAGGATCGAATGACCACCAGAATTGAGAAGAGTCATGGAACAGCTACCTTAGGACCTCATCAAGTTAGCATGGTTCTGGCAATACCTAGGTCTCTCACTTCTGACCTCCAGGGTTGACAGACTGTGTTTCTGTTGTGCTAAGGCCACCAGTTGATGAGACTTTGCTAGAGAAACCTTAGGAGACTGACACATGAGAGGAGGGGAAAAATGGGAATGTTCAAGCTCTGGAAAAAGTTAAAGGCTGACTTAGAACTTGACAACACTCCATAGGTTGTCCTGGGAGGCACCCAGAGGCCCCAGATAAGGGAGACTGTACAGCAAGAACTTTTCTCTCCCTTTCAGAGGGGCAGATAAGCAGGCCTAACTGGTGTGTGTATACCCTCAGGGGCACAGGTCAGGCACTGGCAGCAAGCAGACCCAGGCCCAGGACCTGAAAAGGCTTTTGGGGACATTCAAGTAGTCAGGCTAGCAACTGAACTCACAGCAGAGTGACTGCCAGGAAATAAACTCTTGATACTTGGGTCAAATGCCTAAGCCATGCTTGGCTGCCTCCCCTCAGGCAGCAAACCCAGGCAGAGGAAAGAGAGGACCAGATCCTCTAGGCAGTAGGGCTCCTGTCTCCCTCCTCAGCTCAGTTTGGCCTATTCTGCCTCTCTGCCTGTCAGTAGTGGCCAGGTGCTGGGCTGAGTACTACCACACACAGTGTGAGCTCACTGATTGGCTATAACCCTATGAAGTGTGACCTGACTATTGAGGAGACTGAGGACCTCACTGTGAACCTGCCTGGAGAAACAGCCATTTAGTCTCAAAGGCAAGATTCAAACTCAGGGGGCCTAGGCTGGCTCTTTTTCTTCATCTATCTGTGCATCCATGCATCCATCTATGTACTTCTATCATTATTTTTTTGTTTTAGCTTTTTTTCCCCCCTGAGATAGGGTCTCTTATAGGCAAGGATGATCTTGAACTTCTGATCCCCTTGCCTCCACCTTCTGAGTGTTGGGACTTCAGGTCTGCACCAACGCACCTGGTTTATGTGGTGCTGGGGCTAGAACTCAGGGCTTCCCTGAACAGCAGATGAATACAACCGAGGTATATCCCCAGCCTTATTTGTTTATTTTTTAATTTATTTTGTAATTGAGATATAATTCACATACCATAAACCTATCCTTTTGAAGTATGTAATTCAATGAGTTTTGTTTTATTCATAGAATTATACCATTAACAGATTCCAGAGCATTCCATCATTCTTAAAAAGATACTCTGTGATCTGTAAACTATCATTCCCCACTCCTGCTTCCCAAGGCAAGCACTGATCCCATGTCTCTGGACCTGTCCCTTCTGGACATTGCATGTCAATGGGTACATATGAAATCTGCCTGTTTCTTTCGCTTAGTATGCTATCAAAGCTCATCTATCTATAACACATGTCGATACTTCACTCTGTCTTATGGCTGAGTCACATTTAAGCACATACATGATCTACACTGGGTTTGATTAACTACTACACCCTGAGGCCCTTCATGCAGCTATTTAGTAAAACTTTGCTAGATGGACACAGGATGGGCAGGAATACCACTTCCTCAGAACTGTCCTTTCCCACCCTATACAAGCATACCACAGGCTGGAAAAATAGGAAAGACTCTGCCTCTGTGAGGACCCCTCCTTATGCCCCTGTGCCCATACACACATACCGCCATGGCCCACTACCTGTAGTGAAGGACAAATCGACATGCCACAGCGCCCAGAAGCAGGATTATGGTTAGGTAGAGCTTGAACTTCTCATACTCGTCCTTGTAGGCAAACCTGCCATGAAGACATCCCAGGAAAGGTGTCTTATTGCTACCATTCCACACTGCCCGATCTGGGATCAGGACCTTCAGCCCCAACCAGCCCCTAGACCTACACCAGTCCCTGCACATCCTACTAAAGGGGAGTCTGGCCTTGAATTAGTGCCAGTAAGGGAAAGAGGACCAACTATGAAAGATCCCTGTTCCCAGGCTCCTGTAGGAGGGCTTTGGGCCTATGCTGGGGATGGACAAGGTCAGAAAAAAAGACTCTTCCCTCACCCAAAGACTACAGCAGAAATAGCAAGGGCCAATGTCACTAGAAAATGTCACTAGATTGGGTTGGACAGCACTCTCTGTTCCCCATGAGAAACGCTGATAAGGTATAGGATGGAGTACACATCATTCTTATAGGAAATGGGAAGGTCCTAGTCACTAACATAGTGACTCTTCAAAAGGAAGAAAGGAGAGCCCTTCAGAGGGCTAAATCACCATGGAGGGCAGGGTTAGAAAGCCAAATGCTAGCGCCTCAACTGCTAACACACTTTGATTTATTCTAAAACCCTAGCTTGGATCCACCTTCCTGAGTGAAAAGAACAAGAAGCCCGGGTTCCTTTGAATCAGTGTGCATCTGAGTATACTCACTTGGCCTGATTGCTGAGGAGGGTCACATTCACATTGCCAAGAACCAGATTCAAGTAGAGCCTGGAAGGAAAGACCTATGAGGACACATCTGCCACTACTCACACTTAGAAACAGAACGCTAAGCTGGCATCAAATGGGTCCCACACAGACTAAGAAGAAAGATTAACTAGGAAGTGTGGCACCTATATACATGGTAGTATGACCAGCCATCTCCCCATCAAAGTTGCTTACAGACTATACTTCCCAGCCTCCCTTGTGTCAGATGTGAGCATGGGGCTAACTTAGAGCCACAGAGCCAAACACATAGATCCAACATCTAGCCTGATTTTAAAAGGATTCTAGGCCAGCGAGATGGCTCTGTGGGTAAAGGCACCTACAGCCAAGCCTGATGACCTGAGCTCCATCCCTGGAGCCAACTCCTACAAGTTGTCCTCTGACCTCTACATGCATGCTGTGGTACATGCACACCCAAACATATACACACATACACACACAAAGAACTAAATGTAGGAATGTAAGCGTTCATTTCTACTGACTATACATGCAAGAGTGGCATTTCTGGGTCACAGAGCATATATGTGTTTAGCTATTAGAAGAAATGGCAGATTTTTTATTTTTATTTTTTATTTTTTGGTAAAAAGGGATTTGGCTCTCTCCCTTTCTTCCCTCCCTGAGAATGTGAAAGTAGGAGCCATCTTTGTCCATGGGGACGAAAAAAACACCAAGGGGCAGAACAGTCATCTCGGCTCAATCAAAGCAGTGCATCCTCCTGACTGGGTTAAGAACTGTCATGTGACACAATCTAACCAAATGAGAATCAGTCCTGGTATTTTAAATCCACTCCCCAATCACTGAGGAACCAGATTTTCTCTACTAGAACTGCAAGCCAGGTAGGATGTCCAAGGTTAGCATTGCCTGGGGACAGTTCATAAGAAAGCCTGCCTATGAATGAAATGTATAAATGTATACATTAGAAAAGACAGTAAAAAGAAAATCCAGGCATGGTGGTGCATGAGATTAATCCCAGCACGGGGCGGCGGGGGGGGGGGGGGGGGTCAACGACAGTGAATGGATTATAAAGATGTGATACATAGCCAGCTATGGTGGTGCACACCTTTAATCTCAGTATTTAGGAGGCAGAAACAGGTGGATCTCTGTGAGGCCAGCCTGGTCTACACAGTGAGTTCCAGGCTAGCTGGGGCTATAGCGAGACCCTGTCTCAAAAAACAAAAAACAAGCAAACAAAAAGAATATTAAATGAGAAAAAGGATCCTAACAGGATCATCTAAGTAACAGCATCCAGCCAGACCTGAAGTTGTACAAGTACTTTTTACTTACATGAACTAATAAATTCCTCATTTTTTCTTAAGCAACTTTTGAGTTGTCTGGACTGTGTGACACAGGTTCCTGACTGATATGAAAAGCACAAAGGGTTAGGGAGAGAAAGTCTGGGGAGGTTAAGTTTGAGTAACATAGTAAAAGAGGGTCATGAACTGGGCATGGTGCTACAGCACTCAGGAGACAGAGGCAGGTAGATCACTGTGAGTTTTATGCCAACCTGTTCTACATACCAAGTTCTAGGCTAACCAGTGCTATACAGTGAGAACAGGTCTTAAAAAAAGAAGAGGAGGAAGAAGAGGAGGAGGAAAGGGAGGTAGAAGAAGAAGAGGAGGAGGGGGAGGAAGAGGAGGGTCATGAATGGTGGGCTGCTGTGTTATTCTGTAGAAGATGACAGCCAACTAACTACCTTGGGGAGTTTCTAACCCAAATACAGCAAAATAGGAGAAAGGAGGGATGGGTTACAAGGTCACAGGCTTCCACATGGATACCCACCCCACTACAGGCTTAAAAGAACAGTCTCGAAAATAGAAAGCAAAAAAGGGCTAGAGTATACCACACACCTACAATCCTAGCATTCAGGAGGCAGAGGCAGGAGGACTGCCCTAAGTTCAAGGTCAGCCTGGTCTACATAATGATAGTTTCAGGCCAGTCAAGGATAGATAGTAAGACCCCATCTCAAAAGATTTAAGAAAAAAGAAATCTGGGCATGGTGATGCACCCCTTTTATCTCAGCACTTGGGAGGCACAGGAAGATGGATCTCTGTGAGATCAAGGCCAGGCTAGGCTATATAGCTAGTTCTAGGCTGAGGCTACAGGGAGACCCTGTCTCAAAAAAAACAAAAACAAAACAAAAAAAAAAAGGGGGCTGGAGAGATAGCTCAGTGGTTAAGAGCACTGGCCACTCTTGCAGAGGACCCAGGTTCAATTCCCAGCATCTACATAGCAGCTAACAACCAACCATGACTCCAGTTCCAGGGAATCTGATGCCTTCTTCTGACCTCCAAGGGCACTGCATGACACAGGTGCACTTATATACACATTAAAAAAAAAAAAAAAAAAAAAAAAAAAAAAAACAAAAAAAAAACAGCAATAAAAACAAAAGATTAAAAAAAGAAGAAGGTCGGGTGTGGTAGCGCACACCTTTAATCCCAGCACTCAAGAGGCAGAGGCAGGTGGATCTCCAAGTTCAAGGCCAGCCTGGTCTATATAGTGAGTTCCAGGACAGCTGGGGCTACAGGGAGACCCTGTCTCAAAAAGACCAAAAAAAAAAAAAAAAGAAGAAGAAGAAAAGGAAGGCTGGAGATGTAGCTCAGTGCTAGAGCACTCACCTAGCATGCAAGTGAGGCCCTGGTTTCAATCCCTAGTATCATAAAGAAGAAAAAAATGGGGACACTTCAATTTGATACAACACGTTGTTGAGGATAAAATGACTTGTCACAGCACGTCCAATACAATGCAAGGCATGCAATAAGCATTCAATACATGCTGGTTCTCTTGAAAACACCTTCCCTCCTACCCCAGCTGGCACACACAGGCAGCAGCTGGAACTCATCACAAGAGTGGCTCCAGGGATGTCACTACCAGCCACAGGGGCTGACATTCCTCCTGGGCTGAGAGGAACAGGTAGGCCCAGTTCCCCCGCTTTCCTCCCAACTTCACCCCCTAGCAGGAAGGGGTAGCCCCAAGCAGGAATAGGTGGGCTCCTGTCCCTACCCGTTCTTCTTGGGCAAGTAGGCCTCCATGTCAAAGAAGACATTCTGCCGCTCCTTAATGTTGGCATCTATCTGCTGGATAAGCCCTGCCTCCTCTTGAGTGGCATGACGCTTAAACCTGTGATGGGAATATGGCAAATAAACGTTGTGGCTCCAATGAAGAAAGAGTCTAGAAGCCCTCGGCATCCACCCCATCAATGACCAATGCCTCACAAAACCTCAGTTCTCCACCTGTACATTCTGAGTGTGATCTGGCCCCCTGTAGCCTTGGCAATGTCCTTGAAATTCTGCCTCACTTTCCATACCAGATAAATAAGAATAACATCAAAGTACCTCACAAACAATGGCCATGTTAAGGATGACATGGGTAGATGGACAGTGTCTGGAATGACACTAAGCACAGAGTAGCCAATGGACACTGGGTGGCTAAGCTCATTTTCTTCCATTGTAACAGAAAAACTGGAAGATTACTAACAGAGAGGATTAGCAGCCAGTCAATCAAGGTCTGCTTGTTGCCCTTTGGAGAGATGCAACTTTGAAAACTAGAAAACCAAGTTGGAGCTGGGTGTGGTGGCACATACCTGTAAACCCAGCACTCAGGAGGTAGAGGCACTTAGGAGGGGGAGGGAAAACAATTAAGAGTTCAGGTCATCTTCAGCTATATAGCCAGTTTGAGGCCAGCCTGGACTATATGAAACCGAGTCTTAAAAAGAAAACAAAAATGTCAAAATGGGAGACATAAAACCCTGGAATGGGAGGGTTCCTCAGTCTAGAACCCTAACTCATGTGTCAGCCTTTCTAAGCTGGGGCTTCTTAAGTGGGGACCCTGAGCAATATCTACAGATATTCCGGCTGTCACAAGGGTGCAGAGTTCTACTGGCCTCTCCTGGGGTGCTGCTGTATGTCCCACAATGTCCAGGAACAGTCTCCATGGCAGAGGATCATCAGGGCTGAAGCTGAAAACTCTAGACTTCCCCAGTCAGGAAGGAAGACTGAAGGATCTAAACTCAGCACTGTGGGTGGCCAGTTCCATCACCAAGAAGAGAACAGTCACCCTGAAAGCAAAGCTAATCTAGATGAAGGTAGAATTTTGAGGGAAAAACATTCCCACAAACACTCTTTGACCCTGGATCCAGTGATGCCTGACGTTAACCCTGGTTTTTTCCATTAAAATGTCAACTTTTTCTTAAGCCAGCTGAGTGAGACCTGGGCTACTTGAGACCCTGGAGGAAGCCTTTAAGTGTTACCTCTGGAGTGTGAGCTTCAAGTCCTTGAGGCGCCTCTTCTGCTTGTCAATGGAACTGCTGCACAGAGTCTGCAACGCCGTCACCTCCTCCAGCTTCTGCTTGTAAATCCTGTGCGACTCCTGAAAGGCAAAGCAGCAAGGTGGGAGGAAGAACATGGATAGGTCATTTTCATAGGTCAAGAGACATGACTAGAGGTCTCAGGTGACAGCTAGAATGGAACCATTCTCAAGGATGTGGCTCTGAAAATTAGGACTTTTTAAATGCACTGTGGAAGGCAGCATGACACAGGACTTGTGTAATTAAGTACCTGCTGCTTTTTCCTGTCTAGGTCTCGTTCTTTCTGATGGTAACAACCAAACATGGCATTGGAGGTGTGGTGGGGCTATTCTTAGGATTGGGCCAGTGCCTCAGGCTTGCTAGGCACATGCTCTATCACTGAAGTACACCCACACCCTCAGCCCCCTTGTTAATTTTGTTGTTGGTGGTGGTCTTTTTTTTTTTTGTCTTTTTTTGAGACAGGGTCTCCCTGTAGCCCCAGCTGTCCTGGATTCACCATGGAGACCAGGCTGGCCTCGAACTCACAGAGATCTGCCTGCCTCTGCCTCCCCAGTGCTGGGATTAAAGGCGTGAGCCACCACGCCCGGCTGTTGTTGGTCTTTTTGAGACAGGGTCTCCCTGTAACCACAGCTGGCCTGGAACTCATTATGGAGACCAGGCTGGCCTTGATCGCACAGAGATCCACCTGCCTCTGCCTCCCAAGTGCTAGGATTAAAAATGTATGCCACCATGCCCAGCCAATTCTTTGTTTTTGAAACAGGGTCTCCTGTATCCCAGGATGGCCTGGAACTCACTATGGAGCCAAGGATGACCCTGAACTTCTGATCTACCTGCTTCCATTTCTATTACAGCCATGTACTACCATACCTGGTTTATGCAGTGCTGGGGACTGACCCCAGGGCTTTGCACATGCTAGGCAAGCACTGTACCAACTGAGCAACATCCTCAGCTCACCCCTTGGTCGACTAAAATTTTGGTTTGGAATAGCCGAAGGTGACCACTTCCTGGATGATCATGTGACCCAGTGCTGACACTGAACTGGTTGAGAGGTGAACACACAGCTCCTGCCAGCTCAGTGACAGCCAGTCCTGGGACTTTGGCTGGAAGGGCTGGATGAGAGATATTTTTCCCCATGGGCATGCTCATTAGGTAGAAGTCAGATTTGGGTCTAAGTGGTGAGAACCTTCCTAAAAATGAAGCCAAACAGGAAAACAGAATCCAGAGATGGTAAGTGTTCTAGTTTGCTTCTCCATTGATGTGACAAAACACTGAACAATACCAACTTAGTAAGGAAAGGGTTTATTTTGTCTTACATCTCCTGAGTCACAGTTCATCAGAGAGCCCAAGGCAGGAACTCAGGGCAGGAACCTGGAGGCAGGAGCTGAAGCACAGGCCATGGAGAAACACTGCTTACTGGCTTGCTCCCTTGGCTCCTGCTCAACCTGCTTTTTCTTTTTTGGAAAATCCTAACAAGTTTATTGGGCTTGCTAACAGAGCAGAGCATAGGGTGGCGGGATTATTTACAGAAGAGTGGGTGTGCCCCCCCCAATTTATGGATACACTGGAAAGTTCATACTCAACCTTTTTTTTTAATACTTATTATTTTTATTTAATGTGTATGAGTATATTGCCTGCATGTATGTGAGTGCACCCATGTCGTGCAATGCCAAGGAGGTCAGAAGAGGGCTTCAGATTCCCCTGGAAATGGAGCTAAGGATGGTTCGTAGCAGCCATGTGGGTGCTGGGAATTGAACCCGGGTCCTCTGCAAGAGCAGTCAGTGCTCTCAACCACTGAGCCATCTCTCCAGCCCCTCAACCTGCTTTTTTTCAGGGGGTCTTTTTTTTTGAGACAGGGTCTCCCTGTAGCCCCAGCTAACCTGGAACTTGCTATGTAGACCAGGCTGGCCTTGAACTCACAGAAATTCGCCTGCCTCTGCCTCCCAAGTGCTGGGATTAAAGGCGTGCGCCACCACGCCCAGCTCAACCTGCTTTCTTATACCACATAGGCCCACCTGCCCATGGGTGGCATCACCCACAGTGGGCTCAGCCCTCCCACATCACTCAATAATCAAAAAGATGCCCCCACAGACATGGCCACAGGCCAATCCAATGGAGGCAATTCACCAACTGAGGCGCCCTCTACCCTGGTGTGTCAAGTTGACAACTAAAGCTATCCAGTACAGTAAGAGACAAAATTTGCATGGCACAGTCAATGGCTAGGATATGGTTTGTTTCCCAAAGATGCACATATCAGCTCCTTAATGGAATGGCATTGAGAGGTACTGAGATCTTTAAGAGGTAGAACCAAGTAAGAGGTAACTAGGTCAAAGGACCACCACTGGAAAGGACTAGTGCCCATCTTACAGGAGTGGATTAGGTCACATGGAACTAGATCAGTAGTCACAAGAGCAGACTGTTATAAGCAACTCTGGTGATCCACTCACCAATTCCACACATGGTCCAGCCACATGTTATCTACCACATGATGGCACAGCATGACCCTTGCCAGATGTGACCACGTTAGCTCCAAAACTGGAAGCTTAAGTAGAGGACTTTTTTTCCTTATAAAAGTACCCAGTCTCAACTATTTTATGATAACATCTGTCTCCTCCTTTCCCTAGACACCATCACTCAATAAACTTGACATTATATTCTTGGAAATAACTATTATGAGTCACAACAAGAGACTTAATCCCAATGCTAGAAGAATTGAACACATTAAGTTCTTGAATTGCTGCCACAGCATCCTCCCAATAAATAATGTCTGTGGAGGTGAGGGCAGTAACCAACACAGAGGATATGGAACATGGGTCATAGATTAATTAATTTTTTTCTTTTCTTTCTTATCTTTTTTTTTTTTTTTTTTTTTTTTTTTTCTTTTTTTTTTTTTTTTTTGGTCTTTTTGAAACAGGGTTTCCCTGTAGCCCCAGCTGGCCTGGAACTCACTATGTAGATCAGGCTGGCCTTGAACTCATAGAGATCCGCCTGCCTCTGCCTCCCAAGCCTTTTTTTCTCTTTAAGACAGGGTCTCCCTATGTACCCTGGGCTAGCCTAAAACTCACTATGCAGACCAGGCTGGCCTTAAACTCACAGAGATCTACCTGTCTCAGTCTTTTGAGTGCTGAGATGAAAGCTACCACATCTGGCTTAAATAGCCATTTCTTAGCTGGCATAGAAACGTGTTTAGCAGAGGGAGAAAAGAGGGGACAGTGAGAACAGAAACTAAACTTTCATGCCCACCAAGCAGAAAATTGGGAAGTGAAGGTAAAGAAATAGAAAATAGAGGCTGGAGAGATGGCTTAGAGGTTAAGAGCACTGGCTGCTCTTGCAGAGGACCCAGGCTCCTAACAACTGTCTGTAACTCCAGTTCCAGAGAAATCCAACACTAGTGCACTTATACACATGCAGACAATACACTCATACACTAAAATAGAAATAATAAAATATTTAAAAGAAATACTAAACACTTGCCGGGAGTGGTGGTACAGGCCTTTAGTCCCAGGATTTGGGAGGCAGAGGCAGGTGGATCTCTGTGAGTTCAAGGCCAGCCTGGTCTTACATAGTTCCAGGCCAGCTGGGGGCTACAGGGAGATCCTGTCTCAAAAAAAGACCAAAAAAAAAAAAAAGAATAGGAAACACTTGGGAGTGACACCCAACAAGGTGTGCACCAGTCACCACAGCTAGAAAGAATCAACCTGCTTCTCTTCTTCCTGAGCCTTCCAGAGAGGAAAATCATGTTTTCCTAACATGCTTATCAAGCTTGCAGAATTAGAAGAACAAGATGAAGGACTTCTCTATCCCCATCCCCCAGGCTGCATGAAAGCTCACACCCACTTATCTCCTCTGTGGTGTCTTTGGTTATCAGGTATCAGTAACCCACAGGCAAGACCTGGCATTTAATTTTGTAGAGGCAGTAATGGGCTTTGCAGGGTTGAAAATAATAAAACTTAAAAAAAAATTTCATGCTCTATGAACATCACATGCCACTGGAACTGCAGTATCCACATCTATAGCTTTACTGGCACTCCACCACATTCATTGCTTCCACAGGGCCTGTGGCTGCTTTGGCTCTGCAATAGCAGAGTAAAGTAGTTATGACAGAGACCACATAGCCTCCAAAGCTAAAAATCTTCACTATTTGGCCCTGGCCCCCAAAAGTTTGCCGACCCCCGGACTAAACCCATTAGGGAGTCAGCTATAGTGCACGTGCTTCTCTGTTGTGTTCAATATTCACCAGCTAAGAGTAGTAATTTAACCTCAATACAATACGATGCTCTCCTCTCAGACACCACCACCAATTCACATTTTGCCAGCTGTCTCTTTAAATTTTTTTAGTTACATTTATTTATTTTATTTATTGTGGGTGTGTATACATGTGTGTGCACCCTTACCACAGTGAATATGTGGAGGTCAGAGATAAATTTGCGGGAATCGGTTCTCTCTTTCTACAATGTGGGTCCTGAGTATCGAACTCAGGTCATCAGGCTTGGTGGCAAGCATCTTTCCTTGCTGAGCCACCTTGGCCCGAACTGTCTCCATGGCATTTGTCTTCAAATCTTGGATTCCATTCAATTTCTTACTGCATATACGTACATGTATTTCTGTCTCTTTAATATAGGACAGGACCTCAACCTTCATCTTTCATGAACTGACATCTTTGGAGCCTGGTCCCATTGTTTGGAGAATGTCCCTCAATTTGGATTCACTTGGTATTTCCTTAAGATTTGATTCTGTTCCTGTAGTGGGGCTGAAATAACACTCAAGTGATGATGTATACTCAAGTGTCCTGTCAGGAGGAACACAGTGTTCATGGTATCAGCCTGCATGGTAAAGGAGTCCCCCTGCAACTCCACTGTACAGTGACCAACTCTTGTTATTTGTAATTAATATATTATCTCAGGGCTGAGGGTGTAGTGCAGTGAGTGGTAGAGCACCTGCCTAGCACATGTGAAGTTCTGAGTTCAGTCCCCAACAATAGAAGCGAATAAATAAAATAACTGGATGAAGAGAGGCCATGTGTGAATCAGTTTTTATCCTTCAGTGCCGGACAGCCCTCTATGTT